GTTGTTATCAAAGGTGTTAGGCTGAAAGATTTAAGCCAATATTGCATTCTCTTGTTCATCCTGTTGATATTCCTCTAATTCAGCAACTTAGGCCAACCCTTACTGGAGTTCCAGATAACATAACATGGCTTCACACATCTCATGGAAATTATATGGTCAAATCTGGATACAATCTTTTGAGAGCAAAACAAGGTCAGTCTTCTTCTACACCAGTTTCTTTGTTTATTTCATTGTGGAAACATCAATTATCGCCTAAGGTACAACATTTCTGGGGCGAGTTTTACATAATGCATTACCTATAGCGGCCAAGCTAAAACAGAGGAAAATTCTTAGGGATGGTACTTGCTCTATATGTGGTGAAGATGAAGAAACTGTTAACCCTATGCTCTTTCAATGCCATGTGAGTAAGGAGATTTGGCAATTAGCTCCAATAATGCTTCCGACCGGTGACTCTTGGCTTTCTAGTGGTCTAACAAATAATTATGATGCTTTTATAGCAACAAATCAGGGGTCACATGATCACTCTATGTTGTTTCATTTTTTGGGATGGAGAGTATGGAAGCAAAAGAATGAGGTAATTTTTAATAATAAGTATTGGTCTATTCCATTGATAATCAATAGAGCTATTCATGATTATAAATTGTGGCTTGAAGCTTTAGAATTAAAACAGCAAGATTTATCCCAGAGTAGCATATCACCTATGGTTAGGCAACATTCTAAGGTTATACCAAGAAGTTTAGGCCAGATTATGGAGCAGGTTGACCATTGTTGCTGTTTAGTGGATGCTTCTTGGATCTCACAGCATCATAATATGGGCATAGGATGGAGTCTATTTGACCGTAATTTAAAGCAGCTGATTAGTGGTGCAGGATCTTTACCACCGACGCAATCCCCTACTCATGCAGAAGTGGAAGNTTTNAGAATNGCGGTTGTGGAGTTGTATAAGCTAGGCTATCGAGAGGTGACTTTCTGTGGAGATTTGCAACAACTTTATGGATTATTGCAACAGTCAAGTTTGGATCTTGAANCTTCTCAANTGAAACATCTCTCTTATATAATACANCTTCAAGATATTNTGCGNATAGCAAAGNTTTGTAACTTCACATTTCTTTGGATTTCACGTGAAGCTAATGATCATGTTGATCATTTGGCTAAGCAAGGTAGAATCCATTCTCAAAGATATGTTGTAAAATGGACAATGTAATGATTTTCTTAGAAATAAAGCAATTGGACGACAAAAAAAAATATTAACTTAAAATATTTGTTTAGTTATGTGGTTGCCTTGATTTCACATTTTTTTTTTTATGTTAATCTTCTCTGTATCGTTCCAATTTTATCGGATGTCCCCGAAGGGACTTGATTTCACATTTGATTTCACTAATGCTTATCTTCTCCTTGTTTTCAAAGGAGGTTATAGAGTTTTCTCAATATTAGCACATATTGAAAATATATATATATGTAACCACTAAAATTTTCAAAAATATATTTGTTAAAATGTCAAGAGAAAATATTTAGGAACACTGTATTATATAAAATCATTAACTCATTAACTCATCCCGCAAAGTGAAGCAAACCGTGAAGCAAACGTTTTGTTACGACCATGAAACAACTATATAAAACAATCCCGCGCGTGGGTAACCACTTAGTAATAATAATAAACCGCTCCGAATACCGGAGCTATTTGATTAAATGGAATGATACAACAAATCTCATCAATTGCTTTTCTTCTGATGCAAGAACTTTCTAAACCAATGAGCCGATTTCTTGGGATATCTCTTACATCCATCGTTGAAATCAACGTAAACCAACCCGAACCGGACCGTGTATCCCGTTGCCCATTCAAAGTTATCTAGCAGCGACCACGCGAAAAAACCCTTCACATTNGCTCCAACCGAGATAGCCTCTCGAACCATCTCAAGATGTCGAGCGTAGTAATCGATTCTATCACCATCTTTAAGCAAGATTTCACCGGTTCTACTAGCTTCATCTCTACCGTTTTCGGTTATGTACATAACAGGGTCCTTGAACTTGTATTTTGCATATAAAACAAGATCACGAATTCCTTTAGGATATATCAAAAGCCAATCCGATGCAGCTTTTGGACCAATGGGAACTCCTTCTCTTTCACCTGTCACACTTGCGCATGGATCAGAGAACAATGTGACGTTTTCGGTGGAGCAAGGGACGTTCTTGGCGTAAGAAGAAGAGTAATAATTGATGCCAATGAAATCATATGAGCCCTTAAGCATCTTGGATTGTTTTGCGTTGAATCTAGGCAAGCGACCGCCTTTTACGTTGTTGACCATGTCCACCGGGTATTTACCGGTCACTAGCGGTTCCATGAAGTAGTCGAATGTGAAGGCCATGGCTCGTGCCGCGGCTAACTTATCCTCGGGTGATTCCGTGTAGGGCAAGTTCCAACCCGCGTTCAATGCAATACCAACTTGACCTTTTTGAGACGCCTGTTGAACAACATTCAAGAGGAGGATCATCAAAATCGTTAGTTGAATAAACATAATAAGATTCGGTGATCGTAATATAGAATATTTTGGGGTTGATATGGTTATAATAAACGCTTATGGTTTTTGGTAACTTGACAAGCAAGAAACATAACGTATTTTTTTCTAAAAACTAACCTTGTATTTTTCTCTGTAGAGTTTGACGGCTGCTCCATGAGCAAGGATGAGGTTGTGACCAACGATATAAGGCTCGGTGGCTCCATCTCCGCCAGTGCAATTAGGGTTTGTGAATTTGGAGCATCTTCCTGGAGCCATTACACCTACAGCATAACCTTGTTGCACAACTGTCAACGGCTCATTCAATGTCATCCAATGCTTCACTCTATCACCAAAATTTTTAAAGCAAAGATCTGCATAATCGCGGAAATCGTTCACAATCTCAGCGCCACGAAATCCACCATAAGCATCTTCAAGACCTTGTGGTGTATCCCAATGGAAAATTGTGGCAAAAGGCTTGATTCCTTTGGACAAAAGCTCATTGATCACATTGTTGTAATAGTCAATACCAGCCTGGTTGATACCTCCTTTTAGATCCCCACGAGGTAAGATTCTTGACCAAGAGATTGAGAATCTATAGGCATTGAAACCAATTTGATGCAATAAAGCCACATCTTCTTTGTAAAGATGGTAAGAATCATCTGCAACAGATCCATTACTACCATCTTTTATCTTCTCTGGGTATTTTTCAGAGAATGTATCCCAAATACTTGGTCCTCTACCATCTTCACGAGCCCCTCCTTCGATTTGGTAAGCAGAAGTTGCAGACCCAAAAATGAAATCTTTTGGGAAATCACCTCTTCTTAATCTAGGTGTTGAAGACTTGTGCCTGGCAAGAACTTCATTGGAGGCCAAGACAATGAGAACTAATAAAGAAAGATGCTTACCTCTCATTTTTAATGATGTTTTGATTATTAAATCTTGTGTTTCTTTCAAGAAGATGAAAGAAATGGAGATTTATATAGGAACGAGAATTATCTATGCGTGTGATTGTGAATCTATATATAGAAAATTTTTAGAATGATTATCTGATAGAGAATGAAAGAAAAATTAGTAAAAAAATTCAACTATCCTTATCTAGTTATGTGATAGAGAGAGAGAAAATGTCAACTATCCAGTTATCTTCAAAATAGGAAACGTTTAGCAAAACATTAGTGAAATTTGTCTCTTTGAACATTAGTAAATTATCTGCTAAGTACTATACAATTACTCTCAGCTAATCCATTTGCAATATATCCATTCATTCTCAATCCAAATGCATTTCTTTGTTGAATAATTGCACGTTAAGGTAAACTTCTAATCAACAATTAAAAAGATAAACTTGTGTAGGTCCACAATGGTGAGAGCAGATGGAGCTATCTTCTATATATTAATCGAGGAGACACTAGAGAAAAAATTTTAGGGGACAATTAAAGAGCAGTTTAAAGGACAAATAATTTAATTTAACCAATCAAAACATTTTAATTAAAAGTATATATCATGGTGAAAATTCTTTACATATTCTCATTAATTTTTTAAATAAACTCATTAATACATGTTTTAAATTTTAAATTCAACTAAATGTAATATTTTAGACTTACCATAACATCTATTTTCTGAAATATTAAAGAGCTTTTCATCATTATATTTATAACAATTATCTATTGTGTATTTATGTATTTAGATTAGTATATTATATGAATATTTTTATTGAGATATGTACTCTACTATATATATTAATTGCACTTTTTGACACTTAAATATTGCACTTATAAATATTTATATATTTCATTATTAGAAAACATATATTGTTTCTGTTTTTTATGTCTGATAAATTCATATAAATCTAAAAGTTATACGATTTATCTTGTGTTCTATAATTCACAGGAATAGTGATGATCAAATTTATATTTAAAAGATATTAAAATAAATAATATGTGCATATGTTTTGATCAATTTATAAATAAAAATATTAAGACTTGATAGCTTTAACATATGTTTGATCAAAATTATTCAACTTTATTACATTTATGCACAATACATTTATGTTTACAGATATTAAAAATCATATGGTTTGTCATACATGT